CTCTCTGGCTCGAAGCACCGCAGCTGTCAGCGGCAGCGGCAGCAGCAGCAGCAGCAGCAGCACGAGGATGGCTAGCTAGTCCAGTGCGCTTTCTTCGTGTTGGTCTGCATATCCTTTACTCCTGAAGGCAAGTTGGGTAAATTTAGGCCATTTCAAGCAGCAACGGCAGCAGCAGCTCAGCAGCAGCAGCAGCAGCCGCAGCCGCAAGACTATGAGGGGTTGGGTTTCTGGGGCTGCTGCTGCACCGTTTTGTCTTCTTTTGCCTTTAATTTGCGTCAAATAATAATATTTTGTGTTTTATATTCCCTTTTATTCTTCTTTCCAATTCAAATTTGCTTTTCTCGTCCCGAGCGCAGCAGCCGACGGGAGCGGCGGCGATCTTGGGGTGTATAGACAGCTGCGCCCAAAACCACCCAAATCAAATCTGCCTTTCATTTCAAAAAGGTTTTTTATTTTCTTTTGCTGCTGAGCCAAACAGTGCCCCTTCTGCTTGGATTCCTCTGCTGCTGCAGCACGGCTCCAAACCTGGAGAAGGAGCAGCAGCAGCAGCAGCAGCAGTGCAGCAGCAGCAGCAGCAACAGCGGCAGCAGTGCAGCAGCAGCAGCAGCAACAGCGGCAGCAGCAGCAGAAGCGGCAGCAGCAGCAGCAGGGTGCTGGGTTTCAGCGCAGCACAAGCAACTAGGGCAGGAGCCCTAAGCAGCTCCGCAGCAGCAGCAGCTGAGGCCCCAAAGCCCAAACCCTAAACCCTCATTTGAAGGGCAGCAAGCTGGGCGGCGGCAGCAGTTTCGCTGCAGCAAAACCCTAAACCCTACCCCCCCATTTGAAGAGCATCGTGCGTGGCGGCAGCAGCAGCCTCGCTGCAGCAAAACCCTAAACCCTAAACCCTAAACCCCAGCCGCCGTCGGAAGCGGCTTCCTGGCCGCGGAGAGCCCGCGCGAAGCCGCGCGCGCGCGGCCGCACGCAAGCCCGAAACCCCAAACCCTAAACCCTAAACCCTAAACCCTCGGGATGAAGATTCCGCGGGAAGTGGTTTGGGAAGTGGCGCGAGGGTTTAGGGGCCGCGCGGGGCGCTGCTTCAAAGTGGCGCGGGCCCGCGCCTTCAAGGGTTTGAGCAGCAGCTATTTGCTGCGGCAGCAGCGGGGGCGGAGGTTTAGGGTTTTGTGGATAGTGCGCAGCAACGCAGCAGCAAGAGAGTGGGGCCTTTCTTACAGTTTGCTGCTGGGGGGCCTCAAGCAGCAGCAAATTCTCCTCGACAGAAAAGCCCTTTGCTGCTTAGCAGCAACAGAGCCTGTCTCCTTCAGATGCATTGTTGACGAAGCCAGGAGGGGCCTTCTTATTGGGCCCCTTAAAAGGAGATATTTAGCTGATCTCTAGGGTTTAGGGTTTGGGGCCTAGGGTTTGGGGTTTACGGTTTGGGCCTTCAGATACATTGTTCACGAAGCAAGGAGGGGTCTTCTTATTGGGTCCCTTAAAAGAAGGCATTTAGCTGGTCTCTAGGGTTTAGGGTTTAGGGTTTGGGGTTTAGGGGGAGAGGACCCCGCCCGCGCCTGTTTGAAGCCTCAGGGAAGGGTTTAGGGTTTAGGGTTTGTGCGGGGTGCTGCCGCACACGGGAGGCCTGCCTCCCATTCTCTTTATTTTTTGACTTCAACAAATTGTTTTTGATTTCTTTTTTAATTCTTTTCTTTAACAACTCTAGCTGCCCTCGCCTAAACCCTAAACCCTAATTCAAAGGACACACTTTAAATGAACTCAGCACGTAAAACCCCTCTAGCACCAAACCCTAAACTCTAGCCGCCTCAGGGGCCCCAGGGGGCCCCTCTTGGGGCCCCTCAAGGGTAAGCCTCTTCAAAACCTCTTAAAAGGGGGCCCCCCAAAGCCCACCTCGGGGCCCCTGGGGGCCCCCAGGGGCCCAACTGAGACGCCCTTTGGGGGCCCCCAAGGGGCCCCTCGAGGGCCATTATGGGGGCCCCTAGGGGCCCCCAGGGGCCCCCAGGGGCCCCTCTTGAAGTCCATCTGGGGGCCCCTCAGAAGACAATAAAGGCCCCTATAGGGGCCCCCCTTGCTTAGCAGGGGGCCCCAAAAGGTATGCGAAAGGTACCTGGGGGCCCCTTTGGGGCCCCCATGAAAACAGGAAATGGCCCCTGGGGGCCCCTAGGAGCCCCTAGGGGCCCCCAGGGGGGCCCCCAAAGGAACAGGAAAGGGCCCCTAGGGGCCCCCAGGGGGGCCCCCAAAGAAACAGAAAAGGGCCTCCAGGGGTCCCTAGGGGCTCCCAAGGGGGCCCCCGGAGCCCACCAGGGGCCCCACTTCCGCGGAAGGGACCCTAGGAGCCCCCTAAGGCCCACCAGGGGCCCCCCACTGTGCCTAAGGGGCCCCTAGGGGCTCTTAGGGGGCCCCTAGGGGCCCCTGGGGGTACCCACGGGCCCCTACGGGCCCCCGGGGGCCCTCCTAGGTTTCAGGAAGGCCGTGCTTCCGGGGACTTCGTACAGACGTGGCTGGCCCTGGTGCGGGCTCTAGGGTTTAGGGTTTAGGGTTTAGGGTTTGAAGTGGCGAGTCTTCTCCACAAGATAATTGTGCCCGCGGAGTCGGCGCTCGCCACCAAAGTGTTTTGGGCATTTACAGCCACTGTTAAGACTGCACTCTGCGAAATAAAACATATAATAAATAAATAAATAAATAAATAAATAAATAAATAAATGAATAAATGAATAATGAATGATAATTCAAGTGCTTTGAAGCTGTCTTTTTAGCTGTCTATTAAGTTACTTCTTTTTAATTTAAGTGTCTTTTTTGAAAATGTTCTAAACTCTCTTTCTTTTTAATTAAATAATTGGAGACACCTTTAAAAATAGAATTAAAAAAATTAAAAGCGTTAAAAGAATTAAAAGAATAAACTTCTAATTAATTTATTTTACTTTTATTTAAAAGTGCTCCCTCGAAAGACTTTCTTAACAGTTTTCTTTCGAACCAAATCTTAAGAACCATCGTTAAATACCTCAAATCAAATTAAATCAAATTAAATTAAATTAAATTAAATTAAATTAAATCAAAGTAAATTAAATTGAAATAAATCAAATTGAATAAAATAAAATCAAATCAAATCAAATCAAATCAAATCAAATCAAATCAAATCAAATCAAATTAAATCAATTTAAATCACATCAAATTAAATCAACTTGTTGAATTAATGTTCGCCCACAGTATGTGCGCTCAAGTGAAATCCGCTTTTTGCAGAAACTCCATCTCTTAAAGGAAAACAAAACAAAGACTGGTCTTCACAACCCGACAAAAGCCATCCACTTCCTGTCCCCAAATAACAGTTGTGAAGAGGCAGCAGCTCGTGCTGAATCCGCAGACGCCGGCTGTACAGACACCCCACACGCGTACACCCTACGCCCCACACATACACCCCACGCCCCGCATGCATGCACCCCGCATGCATGCACCCCGCATGCATACACCCCACACCCCGCATGCATGCACCCCGCATGCATACACCCCACGCCCCCCATGCATGCACCCCGCATGCATACACCCCACACCCCGCATGCATACACCCCACGCCCCACATGCAGACACCCCGCATGCATACACACCGCATGCAGACACCCCACACCCCGCATGCATACACTCCGCATGCATACACCCCACACCCCGCATGCATACACCCCACACTCCGCATGCATACACCCCACTGCCCGCATGCATACACCCCACACCCCGCATGCATACACCCCGCATGCATACACCCCACAACCCACACATACACCCCAGACCCCACACATACACCCCAGACACATACACCCCACATGCATGCATTCCAGGACAGAGCCGCTGTCTGTGTAGAATTCGGAAGAGCGCCGCTGCGGCTTTCGGACTGAGGGTCTGGGGTTTAGGGTTTAGGGTTTAGGGTTTGCGGCGCGGACCAAACCCTCAAGTTGGAGAGGGAGCCGCTAGCTCCCCCGTAGACACACTCCACCACTGCGATGCTGCAGTCGCAGCAATTGGCGATCACCAGCGGCAGCTCCCGCGGAGACCGACTGGGAATGAAGTTCAAACAA